CACACACACACACACACACACAAAACTAAAAATTTAAAATAGGAAAAAACTAAAGGAACAAAACATAAAAATTCAATATATGAGAAAAGTATAATCCAGGAATAAATTAAAAGTAAATATATGGGGGCTGGGGAGTTGGCTCAGTAGAACAAGCACTTGCCTGGCAAGCGCAAAGGCCTGAGTTCAATCCCCGGTTCCGCAAAAAAAAAAAGTAAATATATGAAAGCCCTGACCAACTTCCAAGATCTTTAACTATATTTTGAAGTTTCACATTAAGATTAATACATTCTTTTTAAGGCATGGCTCTCCTTAGAAAATCATGCTCACTTTCAGTATCATGTCATTACTTTTGAAATTCTGTAATTTAACATATGGTGACATGAGCATTTCCTGCTAAATTTTTCCATCTTCTGCACCATGCTTCCATGCTGTTTTGGTAACAGCAATCCACTGTGTATGCACTCATACACAGACCCAAGTCTGGCTGTGGAATAGCAGCATCGCTGCATTACCTTCTCATCCTGACAGGGATGTAATTATTTTCAAACAAATCAGTAATTTCACTGGCTTCTTCAGATAAGTATACCTCTCTTTTTGTGTCTTTTGTGTGCTTGCTTTTTTGAGATACAGTCTTTCTATGTTGTCTAGATCAGCCTTGAATCTACTGTGTAGCTCAATGACCCTGAACTCATGATCTTATCCTAGCCTCCTGGATGCTGGGATTACAGGTACATGCCATAATACTGGCTCTGGCTCTAATTTATTAAAAGCTTCTGGAATTTCATCATCTGGAAAGAAAGCCAACAACAACAAATGATACATTTAAACTTGTTTAAAAAAAAAAAAAACTTAAGTTTTCATAATTGTCATTTCACATGATTTACATTCATGTGAACTTTCTGTCAAATACATTAGGCTAAGGGACCGGGGAGACGGCTCAGTAGAATAAGCATTTGCCTGGCAAGCGCAAGGGCCTGAGTTCAATGCCTTGTTCCACAAAAAAAAAAAAAAAAAAAAAAAGCATTAGGCTAAATGACAAAAAACCTATCAGTAACAACCTGAAATTCACTTTAGAATTTCTGATCACACAAAATTCCAACCTGTATGATTTTTTTTTTAATTTTATTTATTTATTTGTGTGTGTGTGTGTGTGTGTGTGTGTATCCAGCTCAGCCCACCAGGGGGCGGGGCTGGCTAGCATGTGGTGCTGGGGGATTGAACCGTGGTCCCTATGCTTTGCTAAGCTTGTTCTAAGTAGGTGCTTTTAGACCACTGCGCCATCTCTCCAGCCCCACTGTCAGTATGATTTTGGACCTCAACTGAAACTCATTTTCTTTCTAAATCTTCAAATAAGCCTTTTAAAAGTCTTTGTTTTTCTAGTCACTAATAGAGAAAGAGGGGCCAGGTAGATAGCTCAGTAGAATATGTGCTTGCCTGGCAAGCCCAGGAGCTTGAGTTGAATCCCCAGTTCTGCCAAAAATAAAAATAGATAAAGAAGCAGACACATTCTAGAATTTTCAGACCCAACAAGGGCATAAATTATACGTACTTGATTTAAAAAAAAAAAATAAAAAAAAAAATGGGGCCAGCCAGATAGCTCAGCAGACTAAATCCCCTGCTTAGGCAGAACACAGCAGCCAGGGTTTGATACCCAGCATGCCGTGCTGGCCCAGCCCCGGCCCCGAGGCACACTGAGACTGTGATGGGGGAGTGGGGGGCACATGCCTGTAATCCCAGCACTTGGGGGGCTGAAAACAGGATCACTACGAGTCGAGTCAAAGTCAGATCTACATAGTGAGCCACTGCAGACCCTGTACTAAATACAAAAAAAAAAAAAAAAAATGAACACTGGGAACACTTTTGAATGTACCATGTATTGGCCAAAGTAAGGCATCCACTAGTGTTTCAATGTTAGACCTAATGGATAAATATAAGAAATCTATGTTCTTCAACAGTCAAATCTCTACTCCCATTTAATGTTTTTTTAACATTAACAGTACCTCTATATCTTCAAGTGCCTTGGGTTCAGAAAGGCACTAAATTCTTCTATACTAAAAAGTATAATTTTTTAAAGCAAACATGGTGCTATGGATGAAGGGACAGAAATAGTACAAAACTGTGTCATTTGAGCAGGGAGATTGATTGCATTTTTCACCTACATTTTCATTTATTTGATCTTAGAGACACTATACTTATTTAAAGTGATTCTGGTCTATGATTTTTCTAAGCTATGTTATCCATCTGAACATCTGGTTAAGGCTGGGGATGTAGCACACATGAGGTTCTGGGTTCAATCCCCAGTATTGCAAAAGGAAATCTGGTTCTTGTCAATCAACAATATTGTTTTCACAGCACAAATATTAGCTTCCAAAGTTTTATATTTTACCACAAAGTATCCTAAGAACACAGAAGTTATCATAGCCTTTTTTTCAAGAGAACTCACAAGTTCCTTCCATATGTATTGAAAATACAGTAAAGGGGGATAGGGAGATGGCTCAGTGGAATAAGCACTCCCCTGGCAAGCGCAAGGGCCTGAGTTCAATCCCCGATCCCGCAAAAAAAAAAAAAAAAAAAAAAAAAACAGTAAAAATTAACAATAATAACAACGACAATATTTGCTATGGTTTTCCCAATAGCAAATCCATTTTAGAATTCTCCAGAGAGCCAAAACTAATAAGATATGCAAGCATATAGATGAAAGAGAACTTATTGGAGGAGTTAACTCACATAATTATTATAGCTGAGAGACTGGGGAGACAGCTCAGCAGCATAAACACCTGACTGGCATACGCAGGATCCTGACAGTTTGATCCAATCCACAGCACCGCAAAAAAAAAAAAAATTATTGTGGCTGAGAAGTCCCACAACAGATGATCTGACAGCCTGTGTTGCCAGCAGCATGGCTTAGTCCAAGCCCAAAGACCTCAGAAGCAGGGAAAACAATCGTGCAAAACTCAGTCTAAGACCAAAAGTCTGACGACCAGGAGCCATTTGTGTTACTTCCTAGACTCCAAAGGCCAGAAATTGATGTTTAAAACAGAAGAAAACTCTGTCCTACTATTAAGAGACCAATGCACTTTCTGTAACTGTTCTCTCAAGAGACCAGGCTAATGGATGCTGCCCATCTACTCTGAAGGGGATAGCTGTCTCCACATATTCTACCCAGACTCAAGACAGCAGTCTCCTCTAAAAACATCCCCACAGACACACTCAACGCGATGCTCACCCAGGTTTTGTACACATTCTATTTAACAGGATGGAACTTTCATGCATGTAAATGAAAACACACTGATCCTTTCCCTAGAATTCTGCTTTCTATAAATCTTAAATAAGACTTTTTTTTCTTTGCAATTGGAATTGTAGTTTTCAAGATTTTTAGCTTCTAAGATTTCAGTATTTGAAATTATGACCTTCTAGGAATGTGAGGAAGGTAAGACTTTAAGGATTTTGATCTTCTAGAATAGCAATATTTGGAATTATAGTTTTGGGGCTTGATTTATTGTTTTCCAGTATCATGATGACTGGCACCACTTTTCTTTCTTTCTCTCTTTCTTTCCTTTTTTTTTTTTTTTTTTTTTTTTTTTTTTTTTTGTGTGTGTGTGTGTGTGTGTGTGTGTGTGTGTGTGGTGCCCGGGATCAAACTCAGGACCTTGTGCTTGCCAGGCAGGCACTTATACTACTGAGCTATCTCCTTGGCCCTTGAGACATGATTTTCCTATGCAGTTCAGTTCAGGCTGGCCCTGAGCTCATTTTGTAGCCCAGGCTGGTCTCGAACTTGCATCAATCCTCCTGCCTCAGTCTCCCGAGTGCTGGGATTAAAGGCATGCATCACCATGCCTGGCTGGCACCACTCTTTAAAGGCTTTATCACAATCCATCCAGTCTTCCTTATGGACCTGTAATGTCAGCACTTGGAAGGCTAAAAACAGGCGGATCACTACATCTGATCTGTGTAGTGAGATCCTGGAGACTCTTTACTAAATACATTTTAAAAAAAAAAAAAAGAACAATACTAAAAGTACCAACAAGTTCAACCAGGAAAACACCGTTTCCAGTTCCAATATCAAGCACTGAAGCATCCAAAGGGATCTTGTGCTTCTGCATCCACCTTATTAGTCGATTCATACTCTCTTCTCCAAACCTGTCAGAAATAGAATCAGTTATAAATGACCAACAGAACAAAAGTTAGAGCTGTATTCCACTTAAGGTGCTTATAGCATATGCACAATTAAGGCTTTTTCTACCATGAAAAGTATTTGTGACTGTGTAACTTTTGTCTCTATAGTTACTTATAAGAAAATACATTCAAAATTAGAACAGAATTGGCAAGTCAGTTTGTTACTTGCTAATACCTCTCTACATTAGCAGTAGCACTTGAAAATATTGTCCCAACACCTATTTTCTTGATCAGTACATGTTGATGGCTCAAAATTATTGCTTACTGAAAAAAGACAATTACAGAACAAAAGTAATTTCCTAATGTTCTGATCAATTTAATTGTACATCATTTAATAAAAAAAAAAAAAAAAAAGAAAGAAAGAAAGAAACAGGGCCAAGGAGATAGCTCAGTAGCATAAGCACCTGCCTGGCAAGTGCAGAGTCCCAAATTCAATCCCCAGTAACTACCCCCCCCCAAAAAAACCCAGATATTTTAATTCTACCCATTTAAACCAGAAAAGTTCCAAGATTTTTAGGTTGCCTTTCTTAGATGTAAGCACACTAATCATCTCAATACAATATTTTGGATCATAATTTTTCTAACTCACCAGATTTCTCCCGTATCTCCATATTCTTGGAAGGTTTGTAATTCTCTCTCGTAGACAGTATTCCAACTATGTAAACAACAAAACAAGGTGAGATTCTAGAATTAAACTGCATTATGAATTAAATATTTGCTTTTTTTCTTTTTTTTTTTGTGGCCAGCTCAGCCCACCCTGGTGTCAGGGCTGGCTCAGCATGTGGTGCTGGGGATGGAACTACAATCCCTGTACATTTACCTAAGCTTGCCTAAGCAAGCACTTTAGACCACTGAGCTATCTTGCCAGCCCCAATATTTGCTTCTGTCACAGAGATGTTTAAAACGGTTTTTCATCTTTATTTATCTATTTATTTATTTGGTACAGGGTCTCGATACAAAGCTTGGGCTTGGAGTGATCCTCCTGTCTCAGCCTCCCCAGTGCTAGGATTACAAACATGTACCACCACACCCAGTTTTGGTGGCCCACTCCATGCAGGACCAGCACAGCATGTGGTACTGGGGATTGAACTCAGGTCCTTGCACTTGCAAAGCAGATGCTTACATTCCCCCCACCCCCAGCTATCTCCCTGGCCGTTAAAACATTATTAATAATGCACTAAGTGCACATAGTTCAATTTCTTAACATCCTTGGTTTAAAAGAATGAAAGTGTGGACAAGTCAAATTAAGTTTACATATGTATGTAAAACTCTTAGAATATCTGATGCATAAATGCTATACAAATTTTAGCTTACAAAAGTACAAAGATAGGGGCTGGTGAGATGGCTCAGTGGTCTAGAGCACCTACTTCAAGCAAGCTTAGCAAAGCACAGGGACGGAGGTTCGATCCCCCAGCACCACATGATAGCGAGCCCCGCCCCCTGGAGGGTTGAGCTGGCCACACACACACACACACACACACACACTAAATAATTTTTTTTTAAAGTACAAAGACAAAGAAACAATATAGAAAAATAGTTACATTTAGAAAAGACAATGGTGGGCCAGCATGTGTGAGATTATGGGTTTGTAGTAATTTTTGCCAGCGGTTTTAATAATACAGAAATGGGGCTGGCCAAATAGGCCAGTGGATTAAAGAGCCTATAAGCAGGCGCAGGTGCTGGGGGTTCAATCCCTTGGCCTGCTGTACCAGCCCTGCCCCTGGGGCGAGCTGAGATGTTGATTGAGATTCGGTGTAGTGGAGCATGCCTATAATCCCAGCTCTTGGGAGACTGTAAAGAGGTGGATCACTACCAGTCCCATCTAGTAGTGAGACCCTGAGCACCCTCTAGACGCCTCCCTAAAAATACAAAAAAAAAAAAAAAAAAGAGTTCTAATATTTTCCTTAGGTATCCTTTCCATGCTACCATCTCCTCCTATTGAAAATGAAGTTGAATTATTACCCAAAAAAAGTACAAAGAGACAGTTATTCAAGTTTCTTAAGTCCAGATCTAAGTCCAAAACTGCACAAGCGTGTTCGTCAATGTGCAAACATAGAGTTTTCATACGGGAGAATCCATCGGAGATAAAACCTGCTTAAACGTTAAGTCCTAAAGCAGTCTAGTTCCTTTCCTATTTGTCTCCACCTCCTCCTGTATTCTAAGCTTAGATTTATATTTTCTCTTAATCCTCTTAAATAGACTACTCCCCGTCCATACCCTTCCTCTCTCTGCTTTATCTCGCTAGAACCTCTGCTTCCTTTCACCCAAGTTACTTCAGATCCTAAGGGCTCCC